CCACACTCTCCCCTCCCTCTCTCTCTCTCTCTCTCTCTCTCTCTCTCTCTCTCTCTCTCTCTCTCTCTCTCTCTTTCCTCCCCCTTTTAAGCCTTTACAATATATTAATTCCCTTACTATTTGATTTTCAAGAACTGTAATTAATCCGATTTTTCAATTTCAACAAGCATATGTTATAAGTCTACACATAACATAAAAAGAAAAGAGAATGATGTGGCTATAGAATCAAGATCAACTTGAAGAAAAACTTAAAATTGGATATGGTGCGGGAGAAACAAGAGAGAGGAAGGGAGAGGCAGAAAGTGATAGACATAGTGAGAGAGAGAGAGGCTTTGCTGGTGGCAAGGAGGGAGGAGAAGGGGTTGCCACTAGTGGGGTGTGGTGGTTATGGTGGCAACCACCTGACCAACCTCTGTTAGTGGCTGTTGGTTTTTTTTTTTCCTTCATCAATTTTATTTATTTTTTAATTTTATTAGAAATTAACACTGGTATGAAAAATTAACACTGTTATGTAGGTGGTAAGTAAAAAGACATGTGTCTAATTACATCGGGGAACAGAGAAGGCACATGCAAAATCAGTATAGTTGATCTATAGTCAAAATTTAGAGGGTTTTATGTAGGAGTGGGCATTCAAAACGGCAAACCAGAAAGAAAGTCGAGCCAAAACGCATCCAGAAAAACCACAAAAAAAACTAAGTTGACCAAAAAGTCAAAAATCGGTCAATAAACTGAACCAGATTGGTTCTTGCTGGTTTCGGTTTCAATTCCATGCCTCCAAAAATCAAACTAGGCTGAACTGAACTGGCTTGAATATAATTAATATTTTTTATTTATTTTGTATATACACAGTGGGCCTCATTTTACCTCAACCTTCCATTCCCAGCTTCAAGCCTAAACAATTGAGCCTAAACCTATCAATTATACCTCAATCCCAACTCCAAGCCCACTAAAAAAAAAAGTACTTTTTGTTATCCCAAGATTGAAAATCATATTTTTCTTTCTTCCCCTTTTTCTCTCGTTGTCAGGTGGATCTTCTCTCTATTTCTTTTTTCTTTTATCTTCTTTTCTCTCACCTTGGCCGTCAGGTGCCTACTCTCTCTTCTCTCTCTCTCTCTCTCTCTCTCTCCCTCCAATTTCCCAACTATTTTATTTTCAAGAACAGTAATTAATCTGATTATTCAGTTTCAACAAGCCTATGTTATAAATATATGCACAACATAATAAGAAAAGAGAATGATGTTGCTCTTGAATCAAGATCGACTTGAAGAAACTCTTAAAATTGGATATGGTGCAGAAGAAACAAGGGATAGGCTTTCCTGGTGGTATGGAGGGAGGGGAGGGGGTTGCCATTGGCGGGGTGCAGTAGTTGTAGTGGATGGATGTGGAGTTCAGTGGCAACCCTCGACCAAACCTCTGGCATTGGTTGTTGGGTTTTTCTTTTTTTCTTCATGAATTTTATTTATTTTTGAATTTTATTAGAAGTTAACACTGTTATGTAGGTTTTAAGTAAAGAAAACATGTGTCTAATTACATCGGGGATAGAGAAGGCACATGCAAAATCGGTGCTTAGGATTTATACTCAAAATTTAGAGGATTTTATGTAAGGGTGGACATTTAAATTGGCAAACAGGAAAGCTGTGTCGAATCCCATTGAGAAAAAAAAAAAAATTGAGTTGACCAAAAGTCAACAACCGGTCAATAAATCAAACTGAATGATTTCGATTACGAACTGAATTGGCTTGAATATAATTAATTAATTATTTATTTATTTTGTATATATGCAGTTGGCCTCATTTTACCTAAACCTTCCATTCCCAGCTTCAAGCCCAAACAATTGGGCCTAAACCTATCAAGTATACCTCAATCCCAACTCCAAGCCCACTAAAGAAAAAGTACTTTTTGTTATCCCAAAATTGAAAAGCTAAAAAAAGAAAAGCATGCTTTTCTTTCTTCCCTTTTTTCTCTTGTAGTCAGGTGGGCTTTCTCTCCATTTCTTTTTTCTTTTTTCTTCTCTCTTTCTTTTCTTCTTTTCTCTCACCCTAGCCATCAGGTGCCTTCTCTCTCTCTCTCTCTCTCTTGAAGAAAACCCTAGCTGCTACTACTTCTTCATTTCTATCTTATTTCTCTTTCTGTTTCTTACTCTCTTTTTGCGCATCGGTTGGATCTGTTTTGGTATTTTAGTCTTCTTTAGATGCTCCATTGTTTTTTGTAAAAGCGTTGTTGGTTGCGTTGGTTTGTTGATTGATCTTGATCTACGATTATTATGATTATTTTTTTATTTTCATTATTTATTTATAAAGGAAAAACAAATTATCAATTGGCCTTAGAGCTGGTTCAAATCGGAAAATTGAAACCGAATTTGATCTAAACTAGTCTGAGTTGGTTCGATTTAGTTAATGAATTTTTATATGAATTGAATTGAACCGGATTGGATGAACAATACGAATACCAATTTTGATTTTAGATGAAAACCAAGCCGAATCGGATCGTGTCCACCCCTAATTTGACGTGCAAATCTCATATTAAATTTCTACTAGCAGTTGCGGAGTTGTAATTTCCACCAATGGATGGAAACAACATATATCGTTTGGTTCACGGAATGAATTTGAGGGGAAATCATTTCTCATGTCATTTCCCAAGGGATGAGAAACGGAAAATTCATTTCCCACGTTTGGTAATGCTGAGAAAGTAATCGGGAGATAATACTTTATTTCCTTTCCCATGTTTGTTTTGAGTAGGAATGGAAAACAAAGTTCGTATAAATTTTCAATTATACCTATATTAAATTAAATTAAAAAAAATGCATTAAATGATATATTATAATTCTAAATTGTTAATAAGGACAAAATGGTCATGAAAAATGTATATTTAATATTAGTTCATTTCCCCAAACTTTCCCACGAGGACGGAAAACAAAACCCAAGTTGGGAGAATGGTTTTACTTTCCCCCTACTTTCCCATGAACCAACGGCCGTGCAAATCTCAGCACATTTTGAGTGAAGATGACCCGCTTGAAGACATGGACCCAAGTAAAACATCAGGTTTCCGATTGCCCTAACCCTCCTATTTTTTTGGTTCGAAATCCCTAACCCGCTTCAACTGAGAGACCCAAGCTCCCTTTTGGCTCGAACTTTTTTATTCAACATGCTCAAATTTCTCAGTTTGTTGCTTCAAATTTGAACCCTCTTGGATATTTTCATCTTCTCTCTTCGTCTGCAAGAACCAAACCACTAGCATTTTTCATAAACCCGCTTCAGTCAAAGGTGGTTTATTCAGCATAAGAAAGGTACATATTTCTCCATTTCTCAGTTTGCTATGGCACTGATAAAATTGGAATTGAAAAAAGGCATTTAATTCAAGAGACATCGATAATTGCTTATCTTGAATTCTCTTGTTTTGGCTTCTGGGTTTTTCCCAGTTGTCGAAAACTTTGACTCTCAGGTTTTGTTGTCAACCCACTATTTATTTGCTACTGCATTCACTCTTTATGTGCATTTCTCTATCTTCTAGGATTAGAGTTAGGGTCAGTTCTTCGATTTGGGGCGACAGTGATGTACCCTGATCCTCAACAGCAACACCACCAACAGCAGCATCAGCAGCAAAGTGGAGAATTTCACAGGAGGCCCCCGCCTCCAGCGCCAGTGATGCGTCAGTCGTCGGCTTCTTCGACTAAAATGGCCCCAGAGTATCACCACCCACCTGGTCCCGCTCCTCCTCTTCCTCCTTACGATGGTTTGTACCAAATTATGCCTTTTGGCTTTCTTATTTTGGTTTTGTTCTGTTTGGTTTCTAGGAAAACGGAAAGGAAAATAAAATAAAAGAATTTCAAGTGTATGGAAGTGTTTTACCTAGTGAAGTCAAGTATGTTAGGAAATCCTAGAAAAGATTTTGGTTGCATTTTACTTCTTTTATTGACTGGGGTTTTCAACTTTGAAATTTACATCTTCAAAGTACACGGTTTTGAAGGAATGAGTTGTAAATTAGACCCTAGACCTGGTTTTGCATCCTGAGGTTTTTTAAATATGCAATTTACAAGGGCGTGCCAGTGAGGCTGAAGGTGTAAACAATGGTTGGAAAGTGGCCATAGAATTTTGTTAGAAGTTTAGTGTAGATTATGATTTTTCCGTTTCTTTCTTAATGGACGACAAATGGCATGTCTGTTGCAGCTCATCCTGACGGTTTTGCTGCAAAAAGGATGAGAAAGCTTACCCAGAGGAGAGCAGTTGATTACACTAGCACTGTGGTGCGATATATGCAGGTGAAGTTGAATTGTTTGCATTATAGTTTGGGTTTTCTTTCTTTAAACCTTCTTGCGGTTATCATTTCAGCAAGTAATCATCCTCGAATCTTAACATTTTATGTTATCTAGCCCAGTGTATCTTTACATTTTGCCGAAATCCTACAATATGGGTCTTTTTTCTGCTTAAGGAAAGCTTTTAAGATGACTGTGATTTATATATTTGTAGCTAATTAATTTCTGGGGTTGCTCTTGGTTATAGTTGAATAAGTTCATACTGACTCTATTTTTTTTTTCCTCTTAAAATCCTGTTTATAAAAAAACAAGATTTAATTAATAAAATGGAAATTTACACCACTAACCTAATTGTGTTCCATGTCTCGATTCTTTCATGTTGGTTCTGGGTTGACTACCATCTCACATGTGGTGTTCGTGCTATCTTTTCGGTATTCTAGTGGTGTAGATTAGACATGTATTATAGGCTTTAATGTTCTTATCTATCTTGATCTCGTATATTCATCAGAACTTCAGAAGTTATGATACTACATTTAAATATTGTATGTCAGGAATTCCTTGTATTGTACCATTCCAATTCCTTATCATGTCCTTTTTCAAATGATACAAATAATATGATATCAAGAAGGATCCAAATCAGTGAAGTTCTTAAAATTTTGCTTTATTCTCCTTTTTGATTTGGTCCAATTTGAAACTCATCCCTTCCAATTTTTGCTTTCCTCCAGAATGCTTATTAATAAATATACTATACTGTATTGTCTAAATCAAATTTCTGATTCTCTTCTATCAAGATGCCTTGGTGATAGTTTTCTTCTTCTAATCTAACTCTAATGCTCCTAGTATGCTGCACGAGGATTAATCAAACAAATAGGAAATCAAGTGGTTGGTGAGCCATCGTTAGTTTTTCTTTCTTGGTCATAATATGTACTGTGTTCCCTTGACTTGTAGGTTTCTGTAAAGTTTTCTTATGTTTTCAATGCCTCTTGTGTTGTAATTCTGTACAGGTAGAAATTTCAAAATCTCCCCATAAAATGAATGCAAGCCACTTGTTCGACAAAATGTTTCAGACATGCAATTGAGCATTGTTCTGACTATAACTGGATGCATGCCTGCATTTTATTTTTGAACAGGGCCTCATAAAGCTCAAAGGTGGCCCTGCCCCCTCTCTAGCAATAGTCGCAGCAGCAACATTTTCTTCTATGTCTTATGAAAAAAGGCTCACTGTTACCAGAAAAGCTACCTCCCTCACTGCTCACCTCCGCGATAAGGTGCAAAAGGTCCTTGTGCAATCAGACACTCATTCAAACTCAGAAAAAAGTCCTGGCGCAGCAGCTGATTATGGTAGAGCTTCAGAAAGAATACAAGAATTTGCAGATCACTCCACGGTTGCTACTGCTGATGGTGATATCAATAGTGGCATTCATGAAATGAAATTGGCAGAAAACTTGGCCAATCTTGTAGAGGAGTCTTCTCATATGGATGAGAGAAGACCCAAGAGCCGAATGGAGCTCAAGAGGTCTCTTGAATTGCGCATAAAGAAGAGGGTGAAGGAACAATACATCAATGGGAAGTTTCGAAACCTAATGGCAAAAGTCATTTCCAATCCAGAAACTCTTCAGGATGCTTATGATTGTATTAGACTCAACTCAAATATTAACATAGCATTCAATGATGATAATACCTCTTTTGATTCTATTGCTAAAGAGCTGTGTTGTGGGAGTTTTGATGTTAATGCCAATACCTTCTCTATCTCAAAAAAGGGTGCAAGGGAAGAAGTTTTGGTACTTCCCAATATAAATCTGAGGGTCATTCAGGAAGCAATCAGAATTGTTTTGGAAGTTGTTTACAAACCCGATTTCTCTAAGATTTCACATGGTTATCGAAGTGGGAGGGGGCATTCTACAGCTCTGAAGTACATCAGCAAGGAGATTTCTAATCCTGATTGGTGGTTTACATTGCTCATAAATAAAAAGCTTGATGCTTGTATACTTGGTAAACTTATAACCGTGATGGAGGATAAAGTAGAAGACCCTAGCCTCTATGCTATGATCCAAAGCATGTTTAATGCCAATGTGCTCAACGTGGAGTTTGGTGGTTTCCCAAAAGGTCATGGCCTTCCACAGGAGGGCGTATTGTCTCCTATATTAATGAATATTTATCTCAACCAATTTGACCATGAATTTTACAGATTGTCAATGAAATATGAAGCTCTCAGTCCAAGCTTACATTCTGATCAAAAGTCCCAGTCTAAGCTGCGCAGCTGGTTTAGGAGACACCTGAAAGGTAATGATCTTGGCTGTACCGGTGAAGAGAGTTTTAGCATAAGGGTCCATTCTTGTCGTTTCATGGATGAGATATTTTTTTCAGTGGCTGGTTCTAAGGATGCTGCTCTTGATTTCAAATCTGAGGTTCTAAATTACTTGCAGAAGTCTTTGCACTTGGATGTGGATGATCGAGCAGAGTTATTGTCATGTCAAATGCCGCATGGGGTCCGCTTTTTGGGCACTTTAGTTAGAAGAAATGTAAGAGAAAGTCCTGCTACAAGAGCAGTCCACAAGTTGAAGGAAAAAGTTGCTTTATTTGGTTTACAAAAAGAAGAGGCCTGGAATGCTGGGACGGTTAGTATAGGAAAGAAATGGTTGGGTCATGGTCTGAAGAAGGTAAAGGAGTCGGAGATTAAGCATTTAGCTGACTGTAGGTCTGTTTTGAGCCAAATTTCCCATTTCCGTAAATCTGGTATGGAAACTGATCATTGGTACAAGCACTTGCTGAAGATATGGATGGAAGATGTCAAAGCCAAAGCAGCAGAGAGTGAGGATGCTATCCTGTCCAAGTATGTTGCAGAGCCAGCTCTACCCGAAGAACTAAGAAACTCCTTTTATGAATTTCAGAGACAGGTGAAAACGTATGTTTCTTCTGAGACCACTTCTACTCTTTC